GCACTGGAAGGGCACTGGGAGATGGTGGGATGGCACTGGGAAGAGTTAGGAGGACACTGGGAAGGACTGGGATGGCACTGGGAGGAACTGGGATGGCACTGGGAAGGGCCGGGATGGCACCGGGACGTCGCTGTGAGACTTTCTGGGAGTTTTTGACCCAAAACCCGACTCCAACACCCCGGGAACGCCCTGGGAGGGTCCGGGAGCTCCGGGAAGTCTCCGGGATTGTCCCTGCAGTCCTGAATTCCCGGGAATTCCCCCCGGCAGCCCCTGGATTCGCTGCACGAGAAGGGCCTGGCCGAGGATCCGCGTTACGGGACCATGAAGGGGATGGGGCTGCGCCCGGGGGGCCACGCGGGGATGGGACCCCCCCCCAGCCCCATGGACCAGCATTCCCAAGGTCGGGAATGCCGGGAGAGACCCGGGAAGGGAGGGGGGCCAGGGATAAATCCTGGGAATTCGTTGTTCTGGGGTGAAATCCTGGGTTTTTTGGGGTTGGGATTTAATCGTTCCGGGGGGTTTCTGGGGTTAAATCCTGGGGGTTGGGGAGGGTTGGATCCCTCCGGGATTAAATCCTGGATTTGGGGGATGATTGGATCACTCCAGGATCAAATCCTGGGGATTGGGGAGGGTTGGATGGCTCCAGGGGATTCCAGGATTAAATCCTGGATTTGGAGGAATGATTTTATCATTCCAGGATTAAACCCCGGATTTGGAGGAATGATTGGATCACTCCAGATTTGGAGGAATGATTGGATCACTCCAGGATTAAATCCTGGATTTGGGGGATGATTGGATCGCTCCAGGTTCAAATCTTGGGGGTTGGGGAGGGTTGAATTGCTCCAGGATTAAATCCTGGGGGTTGGGGAGGGTTGAATTGCTCCAGGATTAAATCCTGGATTTGGAGGATGATTGAATCACTCCAGGATTAAATCCTGGATTGGGAGGAATGATTGGATCACTCGAGGATTAAACCCTGGATTTGGAGGAGTGATTGGATCACTCCAGATTTGGAGGAATGATTGGATCGCTCCAGGATTAAACCCTGGATTTGGAGAAATGATTGGATCACTCCAGGATTAAAACCTGGATCTGGGGGGCTGATTTCATCCCTCCACGACTAAATCCTGGATTTAGGGAATAATTTCATCCCTCCACAACTAAACCCTGGATCTGGGGGGCTGATTCCATCCCTCCACGACTAATCCTGGATTTGAGGGGCTGATTCCATCCCTCCATGACTAAACCCTGGATCTGGGGGGACAATTTAGTCCCTCCAGGATTAAACCCTGGACCGGGGGGGGCTGATTTCATCATTCCAGAGTTAACCCCTGGATCTGGGGGGCTGATTCCATCCCTCCACAAATCCAACTCCCCTGTTTTTCCCCCCCTTTTCCAGGTTACCCGTCGCCCTTGGGCGGCTCGGAACACGCCTCCAGCCCGGTTCCATCCAACGGCCCCTCGGGGGGCTCCGGGGGCGGCTCCGGGGGTTCCCTGGAGGGCTCCGGGGGCGGCTCCGGGGCGGAGGCCCCGTCTCTGGGCCCGGGGGGCCGTGGGGCCGCGTCCCCCTTCAACGCTGCGCAGCTGCACCAGCTGCGGGCTCAGATCATGGCCTACAAGCTGCTGGCGCGGGGGCAGCCGCTCCCGGAGCATCTCCAGGTGGCCGTCCAGGGAAAACGGCCCCTGCCCGGGATGCAGCCCCAGATTCCCGCTCTACCTCCGCCCGCCGGAGCCGCCCAGGCCGCGGGAACAGCGCCCGGAGCGGGGCCGGCACCGCCCGGATACTCCAGACCTCACGGTGAGGGAGTGGGA